ATCAGTCATATGGGATGGCTAAGGGAACACGGAAAGCACCACCGACTTTAAAGACAGCAACGACAAATCGAACACTATTAAAAAAAACCCGCCAGACGCAATTTTTTTCTCTGCGAATTACACTTTACTTTTTACACTAACGCGCAGTGGATGCGTGCTGGGCCCATAACGTGTTGAAGTTTAGTTAAAAAAGTCTTAGTGCAGTTTATTAAAATAAAATTAGTGAAAAATATAATACGGTAAAATAAATGCAGATCAAAGAACAACACAGTGGTTTCGTTGGAAGTTTTTAATTAACTACCTACAAATGGTCCTAAAAAGTGCATCATACACCCATGTAACCGATATTATTCAGACGTACCAATAAATCAAAACAGGCATAAAAGTAGCAGCAACAATTAAATAGCAAAATGTCTAAAAGATACCGATGTTAAAAACCATTCTCAAATAATACACGTTATGACAATTCCTAAATCTCAACAATTCTCCATATACCTACTTCTAATAAGCAGTCGAGTTTGGAGAACCCTGCTTATTCTTATTTTTGACCTACGTTTTAAAGTTCCTTTAGTGGTTTCCCTATCATAAACGATTCCAAATTACTGTACCTGGAATGTTTATTCAACAAAAAACAAAACCAAAGATTGCCAGAGACGATCCGCGTTCTTTGAAAAGAGAATAAAGTTTTATTCCTGTCTTTTAATGTTAACCTAAATACATAAACAAACTCGGGACAGAGCGTATTCGAAATAACCTTTTATTTAGAGACGTATAGAATCCATCAAGCCACACGTGTTTAACAGAACAGGATCAAGTTGATGCTAATAGGATACTTTATTACAAATATAATTTAAACGCAATAGGTATTTGTACCTTTTTTTTTCACATTTTATTTGTTTTGTTTGTTAAAATATTTTTTAGAGAGAAATGCCAACTGCATAAGTTTGCCGTGTTTGATTGACTGCACAGAGCGAATATTCAAAACTCGGTTTACAAAGGTTATTCAAGAGTTCTTTTCATTTAAAAATGTTTTCCTTATTTTATATGGAGCACCTTGTAAATTATTTTATTTTTGGATTTCAGGGTTCGTACCTATTTTCAACTGTTTCTTAGATATCTTGATTTTTCTGGAAAGTTTGTACAGATTTATCTCTATTTTACGGAGAGCAATACGTTCCGTATTTATTAATTTATCGCATACAGCGGGTTAAAAATTTGATTACCGATTAGATTATATTCAAAAAATTTCATTTTTTTCAAATGAGTCACCCTAGGTGCAGAATTCATTTCTGCACTGATTTGCTATAACCTTCCCTATACTTTATTACAAAGGTTTCTTTGTTAATTCCATTTTATTGTGATTTTTGGGAGGAAGTGCAATATCGTTTGTGTTTTTTAAAGTAAAGTAATTACATCAAAGCAACGAAATTGTATGTAATTAGAACATAACGTCACGAAAGGAACAAAACAAAAGTGTAAACGTATGAAATATATATATATATATATATATATATATATATATATATATATATATATATATATATATATATATATATATATATAACACTTGGAATTTCTTCTTATATCGACCGTACTAAACTTATTTGAATTCAAAGGATAGCGGGTAGCGGTCCGTGGTTAAGAGAAAAAAAAAACAAAGAAATAGAAAGCTCCTTTTTTCTTTAACACTCAATATTTCGTCAATTTATTTGTTGACTTCTTCAGGAGTGAACTAAAATTTAATGAAAACAACAGGTCAAACTATATAACAGACAATTAAAACAATCGTGAGAAATACTTACAAAATTAGAGTCTACCACATAGTTCCTCAAAAACCATACTTTACAGTTAAGGTAAATGAACGAAGCGACATAATGAAACAAACGGATAAACACTTAGTATACAATTTTTAATAATGGTAGGCAAAAGTTGCGCTAACGGGGGTAGCGAAAAAAAAACAAAAAAAAAACAATCAAAAAAAGAAAAAAAAACAATCGATCTAAATACTGACAAAAAAAAAGGCATCAAAATAACCTACTCCGTGGATCAACAACGCAACGTGAAAACGCTACTCGGTGGTACTATATAACTGTAATGTCATATATCGATTGTCGTGTTTGGGTTGTCAAGGCTGTTATATTGGACAGACCTCACAGTGGTTAAAACAACGTTTAACACAGCACAAAAGTGATTGCCGTATTCATAAGAATACTTGTGCAGTGGTTGAGCATTACATAAAAACAGGACATGAATTTGACTACAGCAATCCAAAAATTTTGCAATGTGTCAATAATTATAAAGCCCGATTGTTTCTTGAAATGTGCCATATTAACAAAAACAAAGATTCAATTAATTACAAGTCCGATACACAACAAATAAGCAATATATACTGTAACATTTTTCAGTTAAACCACAGATAATGTAATGTTCGACCACCGAGTAGCGTTTTCACGTTGCGTTGTTGATAGTAGGAGTAGGTTATTTTGATGCCTTTTTTTTGTCATTATTTAGATCGATTGTTTTTTTTTTCTTTTTTTGATTGTTTTTTTTTTCACTACCCCCGTTAGCGCAACTTTTGCCTACCATTATTAAGAATTGTATACTAAGTGTTTATCCGTTTGTTTCATTATGTCGCTTCGTTCATTTACCTTAACTGTAAAGTATGGTTTTTGAGGAACTATGTGGTAGACTCTAATTTTGTAAGTATTTCTCACGATTGTTTTAATTGTCTGTTATATAGTTTGACCTGTTGTTTTCATTAAATTTTAGTTCACTCCTGAAGAAGTCAACAAATAAATTGACGAAATATTGAGTGTTAAAGAAAAAAGGAGCTTTCTATTTCTTTGTTTTTTTTTCTCTTAACCACGGACCGCTACCCGATATCCTTTGAATTCAAATATATATATATATATATATATATATATATATATATATATATATATATATATATATATATATAATATAACAATAATGTTGACCCACTAATTATTGGTATTAGATATTAGTGTATCCCTATCATAATAAAAATAAGTAGACACAATAATTACAAAGATATTTTTAATTCATTTTAAAAATTATTTAGTCTTTATCACGAATTTGAATAATAAATATTAATTTTTTTAATTACCTGTATTATTCTCATTATTTCAGAATAGCAATGGTTAGCCTGACATGAACTTTTAAGTAGATATTCCAAGTCAACTTGAACGAACGAAAAATGACTGATAGAACAAACGAATCTGTGTGCATTTTTATACATAATTCAATGTATAGATATAAAATGATTCGCTTTGATATAACCTGTTTGACTGTTATAAAATGTTGAGATAAACCTTTAAAATATAGATTGAGGTGTAAACCATACCATTTAAGAACAAAGACACAGTTTGATAGACGATTTGAAATAAATTTTTGTAAACAAATTTACAAAGTAAATTTTGTAACCTAGCTAAATTGCATAAATTCAATAACAAACCAGTGAGGGTAGTATAGCTACTGCTCTTTACAAGTCTTCTAGATTTCCTCCTGTGGCCTCTTCAGAGCTTAACTGCGAAGCTCAATCGACGCAGGAGAAATTCAGTAGCCTGTGGAAGTTTCTTTGAAAAATTAAAAAAGTGAGTGTAGCAACAACATTTCACCAAATCAGTACAAATAATAAAAATCTATAGCAGCAGTAGGTTTTGCTAAAACTGATTAAATTATAATGATAAGCAGAGCCTATTTAGTTTTAACTAGAAGTCTTTGTTGTTAGTAACATATCTTTAGAATACTAAGTAAGTAATAAAAAATGTTACTGCAGCGAAAGCATATTAGCAAAGTGATTTGCGCTTGCACAGATAAACATTTTCTCTGCCAATTATTTTGTGGCTGTTCTTGCAAAAATCAGCGAACTCATTGTCAAAGATTGACGATTATATATTCAGGGCCTGGTTATTACAAACACAGTTCGGTAGATATGAAACGAAATAATAACCCTCTTAGAAGAATAAACAGTTGAGGGAAGGAGAAATTTAATCTCCCCCATGTCTGTTATAATTACGGACGTCAGTAAATTCATATTGTTTACACTGGAATTATGAGTGTTGCCATGTGCACCACACTTGACTTAGGGAACTTTATATTTTATAAATATTTATTAATGGCCAGCAATTAAGGTGCAGGCGTAAGACAAAAATAGACATTCCGAAGAAATCATACTTCTTTAATAATTGAACATGCCACGTATCATTTAATTGGTTTTATTTATTATTTTTAAGTAAGTAACCAATATTCCAACCATTAAAATTCAACACAAAATCTATACATTAAACAATATATCCATACATTATATACAATTATTGTCGAATAGTAAAAAAATGTAATGATTTTACATACCTGTGGCATCTTTTTGTAGTAGCATGGGTCTTGTATATCAAACACTAAATTAATTTGTAGTAATTTGAATAAAAACATTGTAAAGTGTACAAATCCAAATAAATCGATACTCATGAATAAAGGTAATGAAAATGAATATTTTGAAAGAGGGTGAATGTTCGATGTATTTTTAATTATATTTACGCTTATAACCAAGAAAAACTAAGATTTTGCCATAAATCGAAACTCAAATCTCCAAACCATGGTTTGGTAGATAAATATACGCAATAATATTTCTGGTAATCTCGGACACATCTAACCGCTGTTAAATTTTGAGTAGACTTTATTTGTGATATAAATCGAAATACTAAGAGTTAATAATTTATATTATAATTATTACTGTAAGTAAAAAAATGAAGTGATATAAATCGTGCTCCTCCTTCATTCTCGAAAACCGTAAAGAGGGACCTATCAATTGTTTCTTCTTTGTAGTCGTCGCCATTTCCATCAACAGCACAGGGTTTAGTTCACTTTTTTTTGTGTTGGTTTCAAAGAGTTGTTTTTCACAATAATTGCACAGAAATGAACTATTAAGATAAGGTATGCAGAACAAAAATTAGAAAAAATCAAATTTAGATTTACGATTTATTAAGAAAGAAAAATCAATGATCAGCAATTTACCACTAAAAACATTAAATAATATATACAGTATTTTACAATGTAATCTAAAATGGAGTGACATCTATATAATCAGTTTTAATTATCACACAATCCAGTTTTCTTGGTCAAATATACGGAAGGTACATAATTATGTGAATTTGTATTACATTGGAGATATGTGCACATATTTTTTCGATGACTAGAAGGCTAAAAAGTACTTTTATTAGCTGCTTAAGGAGCTACAAAGACGGAAATTTACAAAAGTAACGTCTACCTAAAAATTTATCTTTTACAACAGGAACAGAAGTTTTACAGTGAACAGGAACAATTTTATTTTCATAAATATTACAATGCCCATCGCAAATATCACTTCTACAGCTACGTACAATGGAAAACTATCTACTTTGCTTTTTAAGTTTGTTCACTAGTTTCCGAAACATGATCTTCATCTTGCTGATTCAGCGCCCCAATTAAAGAGGGGTGGTAATAATTAAAGTAAGGGAAAAGCTGCATAGAACTTGAGTACTGTTGACAAAGACTTAGCATGGATTCTTGGATTGTTTTCGGATATTTCGGATTTATATTCTTATTTAGCTGATCGTATACAAAATATTCATTTTTGCTGGTAGTTTCAGGGTAATACGGTGCCTTCTGGTAAATAGGCGATTTTTGTTGAAGGAATATAGGCATGTCGTCCTTCACTAAAACCTTAACGGCTACCTTTCTGACGTTCGGGTTGAGCATATTAGATTCTTGCATTTGGAGTTGTTTGCGCTTAGTTTTGTATCGTCGGTTTTGGTACCAGATTTTAACCTGAAAGAAAGAATATTTTAAAACGATTCTTATTATTGTTTGTTTTAATAAACAATGTCAAAATTGGCCAGTTTTCAAAAACGAATGTGGTCTATTGACATCTGTTTTTAGTTTTTAATTTTTAACGTTAATATTGTTGAAGTTGAAGTTGAAGTTTAAGGTATTATTTGTGTTATTTGTATTATGTATCATATTTTAACTCTAAATTGTAAAAAGTAATACGACTACAGAACGGAAGATGACAGGAATATGGTTTTGAGAATCCAAAATTAATTATTAAGAAAAAAGAAAACGTCCAGTCTTCTTCACGAACTTTTAAAAGGGGTGTCGTACACTTTTAAGAATTAGCTCAATCTTAAACAAAAATGTTTTTAAAAAACTAGTAGGATACTCAAACATTTAACGAGAAGAAGAGGACGTCGACAGACTTTCAAAATCGAAGACAAATAAATTTAACTTTGTATTTTATGATACAAAAATCAATCACAATACCCTTTAAATTGTTTAATTTAAGGAAATCGCCTCATGAAAATAAATAATAGCAATAAATAAACAACGAGAACGTGCTTTTTCCCATATAAACAAACAAGAGAAAGATGACAATCGCCATTAATCCGTTTTTCTCTATTGAAACATTGTCCTCAATTGTCTATTACGCCGTTGCCGCACCAGTTCACTATATTTACCTGTGTTTCCGTGAGCTTCAAGGCCGCGGCTAAGTCCGCCCTTTCGGGTCCGCTGAGATACCTCTGCTGACTGAACCTGCGTTCCAGCTCGAACACTTGGGCGTGTGTAAAAGCGGCCCGCGATCTCTTCTTGCGGTTCGGTTGGCCGGAATCCCTATGACCGGTTTCTTCCGATTGGTGTAGTTCGGTCGCGTACTCTGAGCTGAGGGGAGATAAAGTGGATGCGCGAAGATCTACATTAAAAAAAAAAAAAGAAAACATTGTTTGAGGGTCTGTCAATTAAAGAAGAATCAGCATTCATTCGTTATGCTCCGAAAAAATTGCGAAGCTTTATATCCCACTATCACCCTGACAGTGAGTTGGTGATGTTTATTGATATTAATTGCTAGATTAGACTCCCAATTCATTAACCACCTATCACCTACGCCGACGTTTTTAAGACACGGGGTGTCATTATTACGGTTTCTTGTAAATATTTTCGAAACTTGCAAATCTGCAAATTTAGTATTTGATTATCTTTATGTGATAGTAATATTGGGGGCAGCCTTGGGAAAAATTTAAGAAAAATCAGTGTTCATTCGTTGTGCTAAAAAATATTGTGACGATTTATATCCACATATCACCCAGATAGTGGGTTGGTGATGTTTATTTATATTACTTACTAGACTCGACTCCTACTCTATACCAGCATATAAATAGCCATGACGCAGTGCTTTAGAGACAGGATGTCCCGAAATTAGACGGCAATACTTTAATCACTTTTTTCTCCACCTGAGGATAGAAATAAAAAACTACAGTACAACACCTCTTCGTTTTTAAGACGCAGGGTGTTAAATTTGCCATTGCTGGATGAATTGAAACTTAGTATTTGATAATCTCTATGCGGGAGTAATACAGGGGGGAATCTCGGAAAAAATTTTGAAAATCTTACATTTTCTTTGAGAAGACTTCTTGAAATTTAAAACTATTTAATTAATATGTTTACAATGGCAATGGATGCGGTATAAAAGTATAGTAGTCGGTTCGCTAGTCGTCCTTTTGTCATGTTAAAATCAGTTTCGCTAATCATCCTGTTGGGTCCTTTAGAACTTAAATGAAACAGTTTCAATTAAACTATGAAGAGGCCAAAAGGATGATTGGCGAAACATCAGCGACAACCGACCGACGCAAAAGGGATCCAGAAGATTTATAAACAGTAAGTTTTTTAACATATTATACTATTTCTACGACCATTCTTTGGATACATTTTTGCAAAATATCAGGAACATATTCACCGAATGACCGCCAAACTTGACAAACCTCAGAATGCGATCCGTCCCAACGACTGTAGTAGTTTGTTACTGAAACTCCAAAATTGTTTACTAACCCCATAAAGATAATCTACACATTCAACAGATTGTAACAAGTTTAGCAACTATATATATTTCAATTTTATTTAAATGTTTTTACAGGTCTCGAAAATATGTACAAAAAACTGTCATCATATTTGGTGGTTAACATTTAGACGTATAATTTTGAGACGTCCTGTATAAGTCTAAAATTATAGCAGATACTTAAACGGGTTCTTCAAAATATGAACTCTGCGTTCGCCAGCTTTGTCTCTGCGCTTGCAGATGTTTATAAATTATATAATTTTTCATATACAGAGTGTTAAAACATACTTCATTCGAAATGTACCTATGTGCTATACGTTTCCTGATGTATTTACCAGATCGTGGGATATAGTATATTAAGCAACGATATTTGACTCACGAGTTTTTTGACACAAGCGGAGCGAGTGTTTAATAAACGAGTGACTTAAAAGTTTTACTGAATGTGTTGCATACTATACTTCTTTTCTGACCCTTAGTTTCGGGTCGTCAAAATTGACAAACGTTAAAATTCAAGGCGTGGGAAATATCTCCGAAAATATCCGATTGCTTCCAAACCCGTGCGGTATAATCCCGGAAATGTCCGAAGTGGCTCGGATCCGTGGGAAACGAAACTGACGTGGTAAAGTGACACTTCCGCACGCTAGATCGGTGTGTAATTAGACATTTTTCAGACGGGATTAGAAAAATATATTTTTTTCTATATTTCATATTTCGGTGTTAAATTGATTTTCCCAACTGTCAATTACTTTAACTCTTTGAAGTAAAATGCCTTCCTGGCGACTGAGTTCACGTAAAATTAGTAAAATTGTTTTTTTACTTGTTTCCTGCAGTGGTTTTTAAATTGCATAATTTTTCATATACAGAGTGTTAAAACATACTTCATTCGAAATGTACATATGTGTTATACGTTTCCTGATGTATTTACCAGATCGTGGGATATAGTATATTAAGCAACGGCATTTGACTCACGAGTTTTTTGACACAAGCGGAGCGAGTGTTTAATAAACGAGTGACTTAAAAGTTTTACCGAATGTGTCGCATACTATACTTCTTCTACGACCGTTAGTTTCGGACCGTCAAAATTGACAAACGTTAAAGTTCAAGGCGTGGGAAATATCTCCGAAAATATCCGATTGCTCCCAAACCCGTGCGGTAAAATCCCGGAAATGTCCGAAGTGGCTCGGATCCGTGGGAATCGAAACTGACGTGGTAAAGTGACACTTCCGCACGCTAGATCGGTGTTTAATTAGATATTTTTCAGAAGGGATTAGAAAAATATATTTTTTTCTATATTTCATATTTCGGTGTTAAATTGATTTTCCCAACTGTCAATTACTTTAACTCTTTGAAGTAAAATGCCTTCCTGGCGACTGAGTTTACGTAAAATTAGTAAAATTGTTTTTTTACTTGTTTCTTGCAGTGGTTTTTAAATTGCATAATTTTTCATATACAGAGTGTTAAAACATACTTCATTCGAAATGTACATATGTGTTATACGTTTCCTGATGTATTTACCAGATCGTGGGATATAGTATATTAAGCAACGGCATTTGACTCACGAGTTTTTTGACACAAGCGGAGCGAGTGTTTAATAAACGAGTGACTTAAAAGTTTTACCGAATGTGTCGCATACTATACTTCTTCTACGACCGTTAGTTTCGGACCGTCAAAATTGAGAAACGTTAAAGTTCAAGGCGTGGGAAATATCTCCGAAAATATCCGATTGCTCCCAAACCCGTGCGGTAAAATCCCGGAAATGTCCGAAGTGGCTCGGATCCGTGGGAAACGAAACTGACGTGGTAAAGTGACACTTCCGCACGCTAGATCGGTGTGTAATTAGACATTTTTCAGACGGGATTAGAAAAATATATTTTTTTCTATATTTCATATTTCGGTGTTAAATTGATTTTCCCAACTGTCAATTACTTTAACTCTTTGAAGTAAAATGCCTTCCTGGCGACTGAGTTCACGTAAAATTAGTAAAATTGTTTTTTTACTTGTTTCTTGCAGAGGTTTTTAAATTGCATAATTTTTCATATACAGAGTGGTAAAACATACTTTCTTTATTCGAAATGTACATATGTAGCAAACGTTTTTTGATGTATTTACCAGATCTTAAGATAATGTATTTTTTCTAAATTTCATATTTGGGTGATAAATTGATTTTTCCAATTTTCAATAACGTCAACCAAAATGTCATCCGGACGACTGCGTTCACGTAAAATTTGTTTTCGTTAGTTTTAGTTAATCCTACCTGTTTGGTTCAATTTATTTTTATTGGCAACTGAAATTAGCCCTTATATACCAAAAAGTAACATTTTTTTTGTGAAAAAGGTAGAGGGCATATAGCTACCAACCATATCTACATTTTTTTAAGTAGCATCTAATAAAATGATTACAAAATACAAAACCTTGTGATATAATACTAACTACACCTCAACTTATACGGCCCAGAACGTTGGAATAGTTATGGCTGTAAACTAATATTGTATGAATATTGTATCAAGAAATTAGATATTCGTATTCTTTGCAAACCTTAACTTTAAATAGTGCAGTATGCACTAACTAACTTACTAATCAAATTCATCACGTTGTTATCTATTATGCAGTAGATAATAGAATAATGATATTTGCCAGTAATTTCGGAGAAGTCCGAAATATATCACTGCCATTCTATGTCTGATTTTATTTAAGGAGATATTAAAAATCAAAAAAAAATTCTTTGTGTTAAAAGTACTTTTTAAACGTAGTACCTAGTATTTTTTCGCCGCAGAATATATTTTTAGTTCTAACGCGCCATTATCTCCCACAATAAATAATCTAACGCCACCGTCGCAATATCCATTTTCGATGCTTTAATGCGTTTTAAATGGAAGCCGCACGACTTCCTCTGATCTTTTGTGTGTTTGTAGAAAACGATTAAATTAGACCAATTACTAAAATTAAGTAACACGTACGCCAAAAGTGCAAAAAGCTTTTAGCTTAAAAGCTCCGAAAGTATAGGTGGCAGCTTGTATCATTCACCGAATGTAATACCTTTTGTCACGTCATAGAGTTTCGACAAAATATCTATTAATTCATATTTTCCGATAATGTTTTGTGAATGACTAGTATTATCTCTAGCTTGAATAACACCTAATGTAATAGAAAATTAGCGAAACCCCAAGCGGGGGGAGGCAAAATTTTGTTTTGAATTCGGTCACTGACAAGCAATGCCAACTTTGTTTCTAAGTAATTGGTAACAATATTTCTGAGTTTCACTTTAATAGATTAATGGACACTTTTAACTATATAAAGTAATGACAATACTATTATTGTACATGGATAATTTGACTAGTCACAAATCTAACAAAGGAAAATAAAAAAAAGAAGTATGAGCAGAAGGCGAAGAGAATAATTTACCATTCTTCGTTGGATACAACTTACCAAAACCACCACATTGACATTGAAATGATTATGTCTTATTACTTGTCACCCCTAACTGTATCCAAATCAAATATTTACACGTACTAGCTGTCATAGGCAACAAACTATTTGGTAAGCAGCATATTAAATATTAGACATTTTTTTTTGTACGATTTTATTTTTTATTATTACCGAATTTGGTTATATTGATAATAGCCGTATCAATTATTACGTATCTGTTATATTAATAATATTTTTGATTTATTTGGTTATTTACTTAAAACCAATATGATATTTTACTGATATGCTTTCTTTACAACTCTTTCTATATGTGGTTACAAGAACTAGAGGTGTCAAAAAGATAGTTTCCAGTAAAAAATGTCAGAAATACTGGTTTTGCGTATTTCTATATCAATTTAGTATAAGAAACTAGAATCACTCATAAGGTTTTAAGTTTGTTAAATACCATTTTAGTCACGAGTTTGATTTGACACGAGCGGAGCCAAGCGCTTAAGGCGAGTGGCTGAAGAAGTTTATCAACGTGTTTTTGGGTACATCTTTGCAAAACAACGCGAATGCAAACACTGACTGTTGTGTGACCCGCCCTTCAGAGCTTTCAAACCTCAAAATACCATGACTAAAATCTACCGAAAATATTCCGCCGCTAAGAAACCAGTGATTAAAATACCGAAAATTTATTTTTCTGCAATCCAGTTCCATTTTCCTAATTCCAATAGTGAAAATTATTTACGTCTGATATTCTAACCCCTAACCTACGTAGTGTAGTTAACGAGATACGCGAGGAAATATTGGACACTTGAAACGGATAAAAAAAGTTTTAGACTCATTGTTGCTATTTAAGTGCTGCTGTTACTTTTATGCCTTTTTTTAAGTTATTCTGAAAAATATAGGCCTCATGGATTTATAGTGGACTTTTTAGAGGTAGTTAGTTAAGAAGCCTCAAGGAAGTAACTGCGTTGTGCCCTTAATCTGCATTTATTATATTTTTCACTAATTTCATTTTAATAAACACCTATACGTTCTTGCAAATGTTTTTCAACCAGTCAGTGCATTTTTTTATGACAATATAAACATTCCTTGAAATGTTGGAATACGCAAATTGGCTAAGTCAAATACAGGGTCAGTCAGTTTTTTAAAAGGACATTTTCTAATATTAATTTTATAAACATAAATTCTGAAGAAGTTAGTTTTCGAGATACAAGTTGCTGTTAAGCGTTTTTTAGTAGCTACAGGGGCCCACATTCAAGAAAAATGCGAAAAATTATTTTTTTACCATAAAACCTTCATTGTTCAAATCACGTTAAACATACAAAGTATGTCAAAGTATAATTATATAATTTGTTACTCATCTGAGGAAGACAGAGTGGTAAATTTGGTCCATATGGCGTCACTAAAAATTAACATTACATTAAGGTAGGTAATTTCGAAACAATTTTTTGGAGTATCCTCTATGATGTATCTCCATTAAATAATTAATTACCTACATTATTTGAAAAAGTAAATCACCCTGTATTATGTAAACACTGCTTAAATTTAAGCTCAAAAAGCAACATCAAAAATTTCAAAGTGCATGTTTGTAGAATCAGATAAAAAAAAAACAAATCAGATAAAAAAATCAAATGAGTTAAATAAATCTTTTGTGGAATTGATCGGTCCATTTTATTGGTATCAATTGACTGGTCAATTGACTGAAATAATGTTTAAAATACCATGAAATTTACATTTATTTATATTGTGCGTTACGTCGCTGTCGCGTCCTTCTGGGATCCAAATGGAGTCGATATTATTATTGGGATTCTCCCAATCGCTAAGTATAAGGAAGCTAATTTGGACATCACAGACGGGTAATAATTTATTATAAAATACATATTATCACTACATTAAAATATTTTTTGACTAGTCAATTAAAAAGTAATCAATTGACCGGTTCCAAGACTATAATGCCTGATTAAGCAAATCCATCCTTTCGTGTAGACCTTTTAATAATTGTTATCTAGGAATAGTAATGTAAGTTGTAATGTTGTAACATTATGTCGAGTAACGAAATAAACAAATAAATAAATTTCACAACAGAGGGTTTCAAATTTCATGCAACTAACCAAAACTAACGGTTCAAAAGAGTCTGGTACTATTTCACTCCTTTTTAACTCCTTTAACTCTCTTTAACGTTAATTTAAATTATTGTGGACGACCCTCAATCAAACTTATCTTAAAATTACTATATAAGTGTATTATGGTTAACTTTTGATTTGTGGGTTATTTTACCTGATTAAATGAAAAAATATGTTTTTGACTAATCATAAATTGTTTTTTTTCCTTAAATATTTAAAATTTAATAATAAGTAATTAACAACTAAAGATTATTAACCACTAGGGATTAGTAATTCGGCTACGACAATAAAAAAACTGCGTCAAAGATAATTTACGAATACCTTCTCCGTTAATTTTGTGATTCTTAGACATATCCAAAGCCGCTTCCTGTACACCAGTCCTGCCAACTTTGACATCTTCCTTGTTGCTCAAAATATCGTTAATTGAAAAAGGTGTCACAGCACTTGTCGGCCTCTTCTCTGTGGATTTAAATGCCAACAACGCACATTCCGAATTTGAATTTTCTTCTTCCATTTTCCAGATCTCGCGAGCTTTTACGATTTACGACCAAGTGTCCCGTTTTGTCAATCGAACAAGATCTAAAACAAGACTGAAAGAGTCGACAACGTCCCTAAATTAATCCCGACACCCACTCGTGTACGTTTCGGGGTTACGATAGGTTCTCCCTCCTTCACTCTCACGAGTAAACCGGCTACAGCTTGTTCACTCGTTTGTGGAAAGAAGGAGGGACCAAGGAAACTAAGTTTAATGCAAGTTGTCGTATCAGGGACAAGTAACCGAAGTTTTTATTATTTACTAGTGAGAATTACGGGGAGAAGTAAATAATTCGATGCCCAGCCTTTCACCAATTAAATAGAATCTTTGCCGCTAAAATATTAGGAAAGTATTGGTGACTAGGATATTTAGACCAGAGCTCCTTAATTTTAGAGTAGGAGATAAGAAATTTTACACTTGCTTTAAATAATGTTTCCCACTCCTTAGGGAATGGGGCGTTGTTACACTGCTACATTCTACGTAGTATGTAAATTTATAGTACTAAAACTTTAAAATCTAAACGTAAATTGCACTGTAATTATATCTACAAATATCGTCATTAGACATCTACATCTAAAGAATAGAAAAGTATATTATATAACAAGTTTGATAAACGCTACTTTAGCCACAAGTTTGAGTTGGTGCGACCGGCCTCAGAGGATGGAGACCTTAACGAAGATGTTTATCAACTTGTTGCATATTATACTTTTTCAGCAACCATTAATTTTTTGGTACATTTTGCAAAACAACGAGAATTATATTTGAGAGACAGGATTAAAAAAATACCTGAGGTTGGAGATCTAATGCGAAAAAATATTGAGATTCTTAGGAGGTTATATTTTTAAGAACATGAAAATAAATGTTTTAGTGGTACTTAAGGAAATAATTGCAAACGAAACTCATTAAACTTTTGAAATCTAAAAATATCATTATTTATCGAGTATTAATGTACCTGTAAGGTAATGAGTAAATGGTTTTTTTGAACTTTCTACTCTAAAATACCAAATTTTGCACGAAGAAAGCGTACGGAACATGCAAGTAAATTCCATTTAACACAATTAAATTAGAACGAAAATGTTCAGATTTTCAGTTATATATTAGTGTATGACAGCTGTTTCCGCAACACCGTGCCTTTGTCAAATACAATATACAATAATATTTCAACGTCTATCTACAGGTAGAAATAGATTCTTAATTACGTATTATCATTATTGTGTAAACTAACCATATTTAGGCAGATCTGTGAGTTAAAAAGTTTACCGAATGTATTGCATTCTATAATTTTTCTACGACCGTTAGTTTTTGGGTACATTTATGCAAAACAATACGAATACATTCACTGACATGACCGTCAGAATTGATTGAATGGGAAATATCTCCGAAAACATCCGATTGCTCCCAAATCCGTGCGGTAAAATCCCGGAAATGTCCGAAGTGGCTCGGATTCATGGGAAACCAAACTCACGTGGTAAAGTTACGCTTCCCGCATGCTAGATCGGTGGGTAATTAGGTATTTTACAGACGGGAGTAGAAAAAAGCTATTTGTTTTATAATATCCAGAATCCAGAAGATTTGTAAAGGTTATTGCAGTAGCCTGTGGATGTTTCTTTAAAACTAATAGTTAAACTTCTTTAGTCACTCGTTTATGAAAGTGTCAACAAACTCGTGACAAAAATGTCGTTTATCAAACTTGTTGTATTATATATTATTGCTTTAATTTGTAATATTGTTGCTAGTATTTTTTACAGGTTAGACAGATCACCATAAAATAGAAAAGGAAGGAAAATTTGGCAGATGTCATGACAGATGTTTGAGTATTCATTTTTTTTAAATAAACCGTTTAGAAGCCTTAACTACGGAATATGTGACAGTGGGGAGTGAGCAAGAAAGAAGAAGAGTTTTATGAGTAAGGGACACAATAGATTTTTATATGAAAACAAGCGTTTTTTTCGAGTTAGTTTTGCGATTTAATTTAATTATTGAATGAAGGTTTGCCTTTCTCGGGCATTTTATTTCACAGCCCAAGAGCCAGAAAACTAGTTCGCTATCTGGATTTTATGAAATTTATTTTCAGTTGAACATTTTAATTGAGATTCCCAAATATCGTCGGTTCAACGTTAGTAGTTCAAATTTAGAAGTTAACCAATCTGAAATTAATTGCAATTTATACTCTTTCATGCTATTCTCATTGACAAATTAAAAAATCATCAAAATATTGTTTCCTGTTTGTCAAATAGATTGTAAGCAATTTTTAACCCGATTAATTTTCTCTTAAATTACAAAAGCAAAATTTTGTCTTCGACTCTGTGTAGGTAAAAACACTTTGATTTTGATTTTATAGTTCTGCGGTTTATCCTCCAACCTTAGAAAACGTAGATACCATTTACAGTGGTCAATAATTGAAGATATTACTGCATGGAGGTGTTTTTCAACAATTTTCAATTAGGTTTTAAGGGTGGAAGTCCGAATTTTGTAAGAACGTTTATTGATTAAACTGAAGTCAAAATAAATTGAGTTACCATGTGAATTTTTGCGAGCAAGATTTATGATTTTTCTTCTTACCGGAGATGATTCAGCCATTGAGTGCTTTACCGATACAGTTTTCATTTCCTGATTGTATTTATTATTATTTACTGCATGAATTTTATTCCTTATTTTTGGTTTCCTGATGCATTTTCAAAGTGATATAATTGTTTGTTTAATGATTTTATCATCCTGGGGAATACGAATCTTAGGTGAATATCAGTGATATTGATAATATTTTAAAAATTCTTCCATCATTTGAGTGGAAATTTTGAAACGTCCTTTATTCGATTTTATTTTTTTATGGGTTTACTTCAAAAGTTTTACAATACATTTAGGCAATTAAATTCTCAATGGAACTAATTGGATCAGATATTTCGTTGAAGTCACAAATTGCATATGGAGTTTCATCAACAAACAGTATTATTAAAATTCATTCATTAATAATTTAATTAATAAATAATTAATTTCAAATATTGAAGTGTAAAAAATAATATGGGTGGGTTTTCGAATTTGCGAATATCCAATATATTGTCAATAACAAAATATTGAGTAGATGACGGTTTTAGAAAATGACATCTTAAAAGATTGCTGGTTTTAGGAAAATCTCAAAAAGTTCGTGTGTTTGCAAAAAGGAAAACTCGTTACTCCGCAAATTTTAATCATACACAATTTTTTTTCAATTTCTATTTTTTATTTAAGTAGAATATTTTTCAACTCAGGCGACGTCGAATTGTTGATAAAACAGGAAATTACCTTGTCTCCTAATCGCTTCGGTGAAATTCACCCTTTACAAATGTTATTCTGCTGACACGTGTCAGTTCCATTCTTCCTTGTTAATTTCAAAATGAACAGTTGAGGATAATTACATTAATTGTTACGATATAGATTTATAAATCGCGCTTTCCGTGCGTAATAAAACATTTAGACATTTACACGAAATTTTTATTGTTTGTTATATATTTGCACTAATTTCAATTTATTTAAAACATGAACCATTTTTACAATACAAGAAATTTGTGCCTTTTAGGTAGCAGTATCTCAGTACAGACAGTGGAAGATACCGTAATTGTCTAGAATTTTCATTCAAACTAGAACAGCTTCAGGACTGAAGCAGCATGCAACTATGTACAAATAATTTTAAAAATTAAAAGAGGGGACATTAAAAAATGAGAAATTATTAAAAGAAAGGAAGATCTATCCGACAAGAATGCTAATATTAAAACTTCAAATTGAACAATCAATTTTTTTTTAGATTCGGGTACCATACAATTGTCTTCTTTTTACTCCTTACTATAAAATACCCGATCATGCATCGATCAAGCATGGGCGGTGTCATTTTAGATGTTCAACTTCGTTAGCTATAATCACTTCATACTTCTCTGGTACTTTAGTCACGGGTTTCGAAGCGATCGGATGTTTCGATATATTTTTTAAAAGTACCAAATACAACTCGTGGCTAAAGTATCGTTTATTAAACTTGTTGCATAATAGCCATACTATTTTTGTTTCATAAGCGGAAAACGTTAAAGACGTTTCTTTTTCAGCAGAATGAGCATTGATAGGATTTCTCTTTCCATTTTAAGTAACTTACTTAGTAACAGACTTAGATTTATGAATAAAAGCAATTTAGAGTTTCTTTTTGTTTTAGAAGCAAGATACTCTAAAATAAGTTTATGTGTCAACACGATTAAGCGTTTGTAAGAGACGTTCTTCCATTACTCTACCGGTTACGGACGTTGGCTAATAACAAGGCCATTTTGACTTTGATCACGGCGCCCCTGAATAGTTTGATCCTGCTATTGATTGCGGTATACGGTACTTGTAATGTCTGATGATGTGTATCTCAGTATCGCTTTTGTGTATGGTAATACGATCTGTAGGATATACGATGATTACGAAATATCAATAGATCGAACGATTCCAATTTCTTTAGCGACCTGAATCGCCTTGTGACCTTTTCCATTCCTTAAGAAGCTTTAATTTGATTTTTTTATGATTTAATTTTGATAGGTGATGAAAAGCAAAAATTTTGTTTGAATTGTTTCATTTTCGCTGTCATATATTGAAATTCGGGAAAGTTGCTCTTTGCTGGTTCTTAAGAACTTTAAATAGAATTCCCGTATAGGCTGATGTTTGCCACTTCCATTGAGTTTATATTTGTGCGATATTTCCCTCTTTTCAGATTCTCTCTACTTCAGTGGCCTTTGATCCATATTGGTTTGCCGTTATTGTGAACAGAGTTGCATATTGGATAAGTTTGTTGCAAAACCTGTATTATTAATTATTCGAGATATTGAGTGTCTTTTCAAATGTAACAATATATTTTAAAAAGCCACATGTTGCACTATGGTGGAAAATATCATAAAACTAAAAAAACAACAGCAGATTATGCACAACAATTTTCTTTTCCAGGGTACACTGCTTCTGAATTTCTCCTACATCGGGTCTGCACTCTCTCTTCGAAGAAGCCCCCAAGTTCCACAGTTTGCTGAAAT